GCCACGGGTGCTGGCCTTCAGCAAAAGGGCCATGGCGACGCGCAGCAGCAACGTCGCAGAAGATGCACGCAGCGAGGATGATGATACAGACGACGAGGAGCTGTGAGGCCGCGTGGTCGACCCTGGCCGCGCTAATGCACGCTTGCGGAAACAAGCCAGGCCAAACACAGGGCTGTTGCGCAAAACACGTTTCCACGCGGCGCTCCGGATGGTGCAGTTGTCGAGGTTTTGGCGCGTGCTGGAAGGCTGAGTTTCCCTTTGTCTGTTCCTGGGGAGTGCGAGGAATAGCAGGTCGCGTGGTGCGCAACACGGGCCCTTGCACGCTGGGACAACAACAACAACAACAACAACAACAACAACAACAACAACAACAACAGCAGCAGCAGCAGCAGCGGCGGCGGCGGCGGCGGCACGCTTTCGCCTACGTGTTTGTCCCGCCCAAGACGTGGCGCTGGAGAGGGCATGCTGTGGCCGTGGACGGGTTGGTCGTGTATATTTAGCAGGGCCCGTACGGGGCCATGGGGCTTGTCGGTTGGCGGTTGATGTCATGTGCGTCGATCATCCGGGCCAGCAGGGACGTCACGAGCACCTGGCGACGGGAGGCGGGCGGGCGTAGTGTAGTGTGCAGATAGGAGAATAACAGACTGACAGTGCAGCCAGACGGGCGGGCGGGAGCGGTGCATGGCGCATGCAGCGGGCAGCGATGCAGGCTGTGTGTGTGTGAATTACTTATGTGTATGGAAGAGGAGGGTGCAGCGTGTCGGTGGCAGGCCAGCAGCGACCAATGGCCGGCGCAGAGGCTCCGAGCTGGAGTCGCGCGCGGGTGTCAATCCCTCCCGCCAAGACATGTCCACCTTGACGTCTCGTCCCTCTCACCGCAGTGCTGTCGCAACCGCCATATCGCCCTCCCCACGACGTCACGTCCACCGTCGCCCTCGTCGCCCTCGTCGCCCTCGCCCGGCGCCCCAGCAATTGCCCTCCCCCACGGCCCTGCGCTCCGACGCCCGTAGCAGCGCCAGCACCCGGGGCGACGTGACCACGACCGAGGCGCCGACATCCACCTCAGCAGCCGCCCGCGACGACGCTGCGAGCGCGCCCTGCCCAGCGAGCCCGCCTCGTCTTCCTCTTGCATGGCTGTCGCGCCTCCAGCCTGGCCGCCCGCCGCTCGCCGCCTCCGCGATACGCCTCGGCCCCCGCTCGAGCGCTTCACCTAATGCTCCTCCACTCGCACACGTCGCTGCACTGCACCTATCGCCGCCGGCCTGCGACAGAACCACTACGCGCGACCGCCCCCGCCCTCGACAACACGAGCTAGCACGCCATGTCGGGCCCAGACGCACCGGAGCCCGCCAGCGACCTCGCCCGACCCCCCAAGCGCGACCTCGCCTCGACGACCCACGACCACCACGACCGGGACCTGCTCGACGCAATCTTCAAGCGCATCAAGCTGGCCGTCCCGCGCACCCCCTACGTGCTGTCGACGCCCTCGCTGCACCCCTATCACTACCATTCCCAGCAGCAGGCAAATGCCTGGATGATAGGCCGCCTGTGGCGCTCCGACGAAGAGCACCTGCAGTACCGCACCTATCTATACCGCGAGCCGTGCCAGGACTGCTTCGAGCTACAGGCTGGCCCAGACGACGAGCCCGAGCCCGAACCCGAGCCCGAACCCCCGCGCTCGCACACGGCAAACGGCCAGCCCGCCAAGAAGAAGCCCAACCTGTCGGCCTTCAAAGTGAAACATGCAAACGGCACCGTTACGCCTGGCGCAAACATCACCTTGTCTGGCGGTGCGCCCGCCAAAAACACGTCGGAGCACCCCAGCACCCTCACCAAATCCGACAAGCCCTCTACGTCCGCGCAAAAGGCCGACCCCAGATCGCCGAGATCGTGGGTACATCCCTCCAGACCCAATTGCCCTGCTAATCCCCCAACAGGTCTTCCGACGCCTTGCCCGACAATCACCGCCCCGGCAAAGCCACCCAACATGTCCCCTACTCGGGCTCGCGCCCGCGGGCTCCCTCGACCACACAAAAGAGCGACAATGCCACTTCCAAAGGCCATGGCGAAAAGTCGGATCCCTCCAACTCTACACCACACGGCTTGCCTCCGCTGCTGTCCCCCGTCCGCGAACCGCTCGGCAATCCATACGGACTACCCACAATTCTGTCCCCAACACTGCCCTCCAATGTGCAAGCCGAGCTGGATAGGCTGGAGATGCAGCGGAAGCGTGCAGACTCGGACGCCTCTGTGTCGTCGTCGTCGGATCCCCGGAACCAGGCCCTTGCCGTGCCACCAGAGGCATCCCACAAGTCCAGCGGCACTGCAAAGGTGCAAAGCCGTGGACGCTCAGTCTCTCTCAACGGCAAGTCGCCAAATCCCGAACCAGTCAGTCTTGCACAACAAGCACATACCAATATGATAGTTAAACTGAAATTCTCAAAGTCCAAGGCACAAGTTGTCAACCAAATTCTCCGTCTGCCCCCAAAGCGCTCCAATGCCGAGAAGAAGGAACGCAACGATGCGCCAAAGGCTGCGGCGCCAGAGAGCCAGCCCAAGGTTACGGATCCGCCTGTCATTAAGAAGAAGCCGGCGCCCAAGACGGCTACTCGGCGGGCAGAGACGGCGGCGTCTGCGCCCACGTCTACGCCGAGCACAGTCGCAAAGCCAGCCCAGGCAAGCGCCAAGGCTGCGGAAAAGCGACTACGACCAGACGAGGATGGTTCATTGCCAGTTCCTCCCGCTAAGCGCCCCAGGCCAAGCTCGACGCAAGAGACACCTGCGCCGAGCACAGCCTCTTTGGCCGTCCCAAACAAGCCCTTGGCTCAGAAGAGCAATCCCCACCATCCGACGCCCAAGAAGGATAACAAATCCGTCAGCATGCTACGCAGTCAGTCGTCGGAGAGCAACGATGCAACCCCGGGCCGCTCCGGGGCGACTCCTGCGGGGTCAAGAACGGAACCCAAGGCTGGGCCCACATCTGCGCCCTTGAACAGCAAGAAGCAAGTCGACATTGCCTTGCTTGGACAGACGTCGGCAAAGTTGAATCAGACAGGCCGTGCCCTTAAGCATGAGGCGACCAAGATTCTCAACAACGCGAGCAGCAAAAAGGACGAAAAGCGAGCTGCAGTCACCAATCTAGAGTGTATCCTGTAAGTCATGCCTTTCCAAGACTCTTGGCTTTACTGACAAGCCCAGGGCATACATGGCAGCCTACTTTGCCCAAGACCTCTCCTTGAACCTCCGTGGTCGCGCCGGCGAGGTTGAGCAGACATGGAAGACGCTGTTGCCGCTTTGCCTCTCGTATTCTAGGTGCACAAGAGACTTTCAGCACCTCGACGGGCTCCGCTCCTACCTCAGCTCCGTCATCGCCTCGGCCATTTGCACTCACGTGTCGCAACGCTTTAACAATGCCAAATCACACGACTCACCACATGACGCCAATCACCCGGAATCCGGTCGACAGCACCTTGAAAACTTTGCCCTGCTCTCGGATCACACCCTGAAGATGAACCGGCACTACCAAGATGCAAGAATCGCCCTGCCTTTTGAAGATTTGCAAAGCATCTACAAAAAGACGTATGCTGGTCGCGAAGTCAACGTCAAACTAGCGCGCGAACCAGAGAAGGTTAGCGGCGCCAGGATGTCTGGCCCATACTTTCTCCCCCTCGGAACAGACACGACACCCATCCAAGCCGTTCGATTCGGTCTCAAATTCCTCGGCGAGTACTGCGAAAAGGAGAGGCTGGACTACAGTCTCCGCGTCAACCTCGATCGACCAGAGTAGCACTCGACCTCTCTCTCTCTCTCGCACCAGGATGACCAAGTTCCGAATTTAACGTTATGCAAACGCGATACGAGCCCCCCCCCTTCCGGCACCATCACCACGTTGCTATTGCTTTCCCTATTCCGTCATATCATCGTAACGGCCACGAATCCGGATTCCCAGCTACCTCTTTTCGAAGTCTTGTTTTCCATGCTGGCGTTTTTTTTCCTCATAGCATCATCATCATCATCATCATCATCATCAGTTCTAGCGGGTCGGGGCGGACAAGAAAGAAACCTTTTTTTTCCTCTTGTTTTTCGCGTGTGTGGCTTTCTCGTTCTTCTTCCTTGGATATGCAAAACTGCACCTGCAACTGCAATAGCAACAAACAGCTCTGATACCCCCATCCCCCCCCTACTACTACACGAGGCGCGCGCGCGTGGACTAGAAAGTTCTTCTTTTTCTCCCATCTTTCAACCAAACTGGCGGGTTTATCCAAATCCTTCTTTTTTTCTTCTTCTCTTCCTCTCTTCTTCTTTTTCATCTTTCTGCTTTGTTTACGACAAGATCGATTTTTCTTACAAGACGACTTGACTTGTATGTAATGAAGTGTGTTGAGTAGAGCTGTTCCATTCTTCTTCTTTTTCTTCTTTTTTTTCGCATCTTTGATTCTCTCTTCTTGGGCAACCAATAGAGAGAAACACCTGCAGTAGTAGTCATGATTTAGCGTGGCGTGGGGGGCGTCAGCTTTTCGGCTTCCTTGGGGTTTTTTTCTACTCTCTTTCTTTTTTTTTGATATATAACGGGATCAAAGGAAGTTTTGCATCATTGTGTGTATGTGTGTGTGTGTGTGTGTCTGCGTGTGTGTGTGTGTGTGTCTGTGTGTGTCTGTGTTTTTTTTTCGGGACTTTTTGCGTTGATGGAGAGTTTGGACATGTGCATGGGATAGGTTGGATCGGTTGGGTTGGGTTGGGTTGGGTGATTTAGTTCTTAACGAGTTTCTCACGCTTGATTACCATATATATATATATATATATATATTTAAAAAAAAAATGAAAGAAAGAAAGAATAAATGAAAGAAAGAAACAACCAACTTTTTTTTCCAACTGAATGATCCAGGTCGTTCTTCTTCTTGCATCGCTATATCGTTTGTGTCGCGGCCATGTATGTGTCTATGTGCAAGTCACTATGTAGATATGCAGGATGAACGACGATTTATTGTAGGCAGGACAGATGTACAAAGACTGTTTCTTTCTTTCTTTCGATATCGACTTGCTAACTCGTTATTTACTCCCCGTTTACCCTCCTATATCCCATCTCTCAACCCAACGATGCCTCCTCTCCCTCTTCTTCCCTTCTTTTCTGCACCACAAATGCAAGGCTTGGTTGGGTTTTCTTACCCCCCGCTGTATATACATACAGCCCTGTTACTATCCCTTCTCCTCTTTCTTCCAAGCTACATCCCGCATTTCCCTTCCGTATCAAGAAAAACCGCAAACATGAGTATTTACAACCAAACTTTGCAAGTGAGCTTATGGAGCGGGTAGCAGGTTGCAAGTAAAGTAGCAAGTAGCGCGCTGTACTTATAGTTGCCGTGGCATGGAATACACCACAATCCCATCCCCTCCTCTACCACATGCTTCTCCTCATGCACACAAACGATGCAATCACGCCAGTACCGAGTCTTGCGCAGTGCACGACAACGAGACACTATAATAATGAAACTGCCGGAATTCTGGGGGGGGGGGAGGGAAATTAAAGGTGGTGCATAACTACCTAACCAGGTATATATCCCAATTTCCCCAACTCGCGATTTCTTCACGCTCTGCGTATTCCTTTCTTTCCCATCCCCACTTCCATGTAAAACCTAGTTATGTAGTATACACGCTGACTTGCATTCGGGCTATATACATGCATGTGAGTACAAAAAAAAGAAAAGAAAGATGAACAAGTTGTAAGAAAACACGTTCGGAGTGGTTACACAGGATGAGTCTATGCGTGTCGTGTATGTGCATATATATGTGTTGAATAGTAATGTACGAATTGAAAGTGGATAAGCCGAAAAAAAAATCACTAACTACCGCATGCTCTGTACACTATACTCGATACTGTGTTTAGTTTAGTTCAGTATATAGTTTTGCTCCAGATCAAACGGACTCTGTAGGCGGAGTAGTCTTATACCATGTCTATTACATTACGTGGGTTTAGCGCCGCAACCGACTAGCCAACGCTTCACGACGACCAAGGTTGGGTATACTGAAATTAGTTTATCAGCTGACACATAAGAGGTGTTGCATGGCCAGCGTGCTGAGTACAGATTTATAGATTCCAAGCTCAACTGCACGGGCTGTGCTACCCATATCATGTCCTGCCAGCAAGCCGACACTAGTAAGTAGTAGCCTTTCGATTCCTATATATTCTAAGCCCGCATATACATACAAAGTGCCAAATCCCAACACGCAAAACATCATAATCCAGATCCCCCCCAAAAGCAAAGCCACAACCTCAAAACAAGCACCTTATTTACTCCAAGTAATCAATATCCCACTTTAACCGGACACCTTCTTACCCAGCAGAGGAATCTGGACTTGGTCGCTAATCTGGACTCTGGGTCCTAGCATGTCGCTCGCCAGCGATTTCTTGGGTAGCTCGCCAATCTTCTTCCACATGAGCTGCAGCTGCACGTGGCCGGGCGTGATGCCCATTTGGTGGGAGCCCCATCGGAACGGCCAGAGGGGCAGCGCCTCGTGGTCTTTGGGTGTGCGCTTGGCGTCGTAGTAGCAGGCTACGTCTCCGAAGCAGAGAAAAACGTACGGGAAACCGTCCTTGCTTGTGCATTAGCAACTGCAACTAAGATGGTAAATGGGATGCAGGGGCTAAGAACATACAATCGTGTAGAGCTCATCGTAGATATCCGTCACGCGCTCACCGCAGCTCCACGCATGATCGCCTTTGCCGTAGTAGCTATCGGTGTTCTTTTCCTGCTTGGCGTCTTCAAACGTGCAGTTCCCGCGTTCGGTGCTGAGCGTCCAAGGAAAGTCTTCGAGGCGTGAGAAATCGGCGCACTCGTGGGAAGTGCTTTTCTCCGCCACGAACTTGCCGTCGGTGTCGAGACAGCCAACAACGGATTCGGGCGTCGCCGACTTCCAGTTGTCCGACTTGAGCACGTAGATGTGGCCGATGCCGCTAAAGTCGGACTGCTGGATGCCGTTGGCCACGGCGCGAGTCGCCATGGACGCAGCGAGGAGAAGAACCGTGGTGCGGAGGCGGGCAAGCATCTTGGATCCCGCTAGTGAAGTAGTCTATGTATGCCAGTGCAATGCCAGAGCGTAAAGCGGGGAGAGTAAAACAAGACTTCTTCTTTTTTGGTTGGTTGGTTGGTTGGTTGGTTGGTTGGTTGGTTTCTTCGTCAATGTTACGTTAGCACAGTCGTACTCCAGTAAAACAAAAACCAAAAAATAATGAACCGTAGAACTCGCAAATGCAACCCACCACGAACCTCTTTATACAGATCGTCCGTCACACACACTTTCTCCTTCCCTCGAAGCGATTGCACGAAAGAAAGGAAGGGAAGAAAAAAAAGTCTCCGCTAGGAAGAACACAAAGCAACAACAACCACCCCTTGTACACCACTAATAAGACAAAACGTCCCACTTACCAATTCGATTCCACCAGACGAGGATCCCCCCAGTCAAGCAAGTTGCCTGCACCCCGTCGTCGTGTATCCCTTGGGACAATCCAATTATTACCCACACAACCCGCACACGACCCTCCTGCAGCCAGCAAAGCAGCTTACTTAGATTAGGCAGCCCTTTTCTTCCCCCCCCCCCGCGAAAACCGCAATTTCGGATCCCCTCCTCGTGACCGCGGGGGGTTTCTGTCTCCACCCCCGTCCTTGCGCTGCCCTTGCAATTTATCGAGTTTGTAATCTTCTTTCCCCCGCCCTTTTTTTTTGGAGGGGCTTGGCTTGGCTACGTTCACGCGTCCCGCGTGAGTGACCTGGGCGAAAAGGAGGGAACTTAATATCGAGCCGCCTCGAGGGGGAGCGTGAGCGGACGAAAGCACGCGAAAAAAAACAAGGAACTAACAGTGTTCGTCGAGGAAACAAGTATGGCGTGAGCAGAGAGGATCAAGGCAGTTGGGGGTTAACAGGATGCGATGCGCCACGTGTCGGGGGAAGCAGAAACACGGCGAATCAAGCCTTCGGGGGGCAGATATAGGCTGGTTTGATGGTACCGCGTGTGGCTTGGGCGTTTGTTGTTTTTATCCTGTTGTGCCGCGAGCGCGTGTGTCAGTTATCTGTCAGCGGGGAACGGGTATTACAGTACGAGGGTAAGGGATTCAAGGGAAGCTGAGTTCGGGCATCGGAGTTGGGGGGACACTAGGGACGTAGGATGTGGGGACCTTACGAGTGTGGCTTGTGATGTTACGTCGTGAATGCCATGTCTATTTGGTGTCTTTGAGTTGGGGTTATTCAATCATTACAGCGGCATTTATAGCAGGACATGTTTTCCCTATTCAGTGCTTTTGTAGCTTTGCATACAGTACCGTACAACACAACAGACGGAACTTGGTAGGCATGCAGAGGCAAAGGCTAGACCATTGTACGACGATGCTTTTTCCAAACAAAACCCCACCGCATCTTCTCAAAGGCTTTTCAGCCAGGCTCGTCTCGTCTTGCAGCACGATATTCAGACTGCAAAGTCACCCTTGTCCACCTAGCAAGGCACTGCCGTTGATCTCCCGTCGTGTACCCGCCAGCCCCCACGTCCATCCTGCCACAACAGGCTAAGCGCTTCCGAAACCCGCGGTGTATAATCACGAAAGAGTCCAGAACACACAATGGCCCGTTGCCCATGGCATTACAGAGGCTTCAAAGACTTTGTTGACGCTGCCATAGCTAGGCTTGTCTCCCCAATCTGGGCATCAATGCTGCTGCTCACTTGGTATTGCCTGCCTGTGCAAGCATACTTACCGCAATGGGGTGCCAGGTGGATGTCCTGGAGATGCGAGGCAGTGAATGCGCTGCTATCTGCGCCGCGATTTCTGCTGGCCCGACTGTGGGAATATCTCTATACGCCACCATGTAACCATCATAGGTGTCAGTTACGGCGTTATATGTCGCCGCCACCGCCGCCACAACAGCCATGGTATATGTACCTGAAACGCTTTTACCGGCCAATAGGGTGGGCATGCAGCACTGTCTGGCCTCGAGCGCGTCCCCAACAAGATACCGACGCGTCAGCATTTCTGCGTCTTCCGGTCGAGCTGAGGAACATGATATATCTCTACGCAAGCGGCGCCAGTGGATACCGAATCCAGTACGTCCATTGGTGTTGCCTCGGGCAGTTTGACCTGAACTCGGGTAACGGCTCTTCGCACCATCCGCTGACAAATGCACAGCTCTGTCGATTTAGCAGCCTATCATCCCCGCAACGGGCAAAGAGAAGATGCCATATCTTACCTAGTCATAGACGACCCAATACTTGCCCTGCATGGTCATTATCCGCCGACCAACTTACTCTTGGTTTGCAAAGCAATATACCACGAAGCACGCCAACAGTTCCTCTCTACAACGTCATTCGAAGTTCATCCCTTGACTCCCAGTGACGACACATGGATCTTTGAGTACTACACCAGTTTAGCCCAGTATCCCGCCTATGAAACCCTGGGCAAATCCATATTTGTGTCGGCCATGCAAAAGGTATACTTGCGCATCAATATAGCAAGGTTTCTGACCACCCGAGTAAGGCGACCATGTCCGCCCCACGGCCGCCTGGTGACCATATCCATGTTCGAGGCCATTGGTTTGAAAAAATGTACTCAGATGCTGACCTGGGGCTCCAAAACGCTGTGTAAGGCTTTGAAGAAGAGTGCATCCAGTTTGAGGCTCGTCGAGATATGCTGGGTTGACGACTTTCCGCACGACATAAGCCCGCATGATCTGGACATGAGAGCGGCTATTTTGCAGCCACTCTCTGAACTGGTATCTGTGGACGTACGTATCAAGAAGCTGGTCATGATAGGAAATGGACGGGAAGCGTTGTTGAAGACGCTCAAAAACTCTTTACGTGCAGTACCTGGTCGAGCAAGACGGTGGTAAATTTGAGTCCAGTTTGGCGTCCACGTGTAAGATGCTCAAGCAACGAGTTGAGATTCTGCAAGGTCCGTATGTCCGTATGTGAAGTCTTGGTCGATATTCGGCATGGTTGCCAATCACAACTTTGTGATTTGGTGTTTCCAAGCGAACAGGCAAATAATGTGACTTGTAGTAGAGCAGTTGTTGGTAGTGGTATGAAGAGGGATTAACTTGATAGCCCTGCTACCCCTTTTCTAAATGTGCGTTTGACTAGACTTTGCCAAAGCCTTCATTCGTACAAAGTTGAGATGATGGCCGCGATATATCAGCCTCAGCTCATTGGGAAATGCTCTTCCAAAACCACTCCATCAACATGTATATTCGGATTTTGGAAAATCGACTGCGGTGGGATTGTTCGGCATATGACGCCGGAAGGCGGCAGATCTCGCAGATCTCGACGATCGATACGGTTCCATTACCGTCAAGCGAGACGGTCCGTGATGAGGTTGCTGACGGGAGGCTTCTTTGGCGAAGCCGAGGTCGATCATGGTAGCAAGTTTGGCCAAAATAAGATTGATGCGTGTAGATGAGGCGAGGATGTTGTGTGCAGATGCATTCTTGCAGAGTCGAAGTATGATATCCTCCTTTCCAGTTTCAAGGGTGAAAATCTCTCCTCTTTGCGTAGTGTAGACATCTCGATTGACTTGTTCGTATGATAGTACCCATAATTCATCTTTTTGCTATGATTGCTCATCGAGCGATGCTTTAGCCAACCTGATGCTCTTCATGTTAAGCTCGACTCTTATTGTTATTGAGTTGAAGATGCTCCCAGGTATTGCAGGAAATTGGATTTTTTTTTATAAATGACAAGTAGCACCCTGGCCAAAGGCGTGTAAAGGGCATAGATGACTGCTGGACGAAGGTTGGCGTACTCCATTACCAGCAAAAGAAGGTTGAAGTCGGTAATACCAAACCTTGGGACGACAAGCCTCCCTTTCAACCTTTACAACATATCCATGTGCAGATGCGAGGGCTAGAATGGCCGGGCGCAAAAAACTTCTCCACCCTTCGACCCTTCTCCTCTTTGAACAAGGCGCCTGATCAACTGGTCCACTCGGAGCTTCTCCGTAAGACGGCAATCATGCCAGACTCAGTTGCGCTTGCCGCGCGAAGATGAGGGGTATTGCTGAGGCTTGCCATTGGACGACGACTGTGCAGCCGAGTACCGTAGTCAGACGCCCGGCTAGCCGTTGCTTTGTTGGTGCGCAGAGAGACGAGTGCGCGTGCTCGAGGCCTCAGAAGCAAGTACCGCTTGTTGCGCATGTGTCTCGTTGGAGACTCCAGGGGTGTTGAGATCGTGGGATGGTATGGTACCTGCTACATGGCTGTGGGGGCGTCATTGGCCGGTACAAGAGCGCGTTTTACGCATGTCTCCACCGTGAAGCGCGTCAGACAAGTGCCGTCTTTGGAGTGTGGCTCGGCTGATGGCGCTCTCTTCCGACAAGCACGTCGAACAGAGAGCCCCGTCGGGCTGCGATCGAGGGGCCATGGCAGGAGACATGGACAGCTCCAGAATGGAAGGTGAGACAGTGCTTCTCAGGTGGATGGCGGGATACACATGCTTCTAATGCTCTTGTAAGCCAGCACTGGCGGGGCGGGATCAGCGTGCTGGATTGGGACAAGGAATGCATAGCGTTTCGGCGTCGTGGTTGTGGTGGGGGCTGGAATTGCCGGGCGAGGGGTGGAGGGGCAGTGCGCCGGCCGGGTTTCGGCCGACGAGATACGAAGCATCTCCAGCCTGTCGCCATCAAGTCCGAGCCATGGCCCCGAACACCGACCGTCGTCCTGCTTTCCAGCGAGCACACGGCGACAACTCGCATCCGCAGACTGCGAGACTCGACCGCTCGCGCCCCGCATGGTTCCTCGTCCCGCACACGGCACGCCGCCTGGCCGTCTAGACTACTTGCTAGATTGCTTGGCCCCATCCTCACGGGGCGCCGCGCGTTGTGTTTACCAAGTTGATCCTGAGCTTTGCTGGTCGACGACTGGCCGATGGTCGGAGACGACGACTCTGGAGCCCCACCACAGCAGCATGCTCCATTGTGCAAGCCGACCTTTTCCCGACGAGACGACAAGTCAATTGTACACGTACACGGCCAGCAAAACATAGCGCTTACTTGCACCGGCAGGGGGTGGTGGCCATGTCGATGCCGGCCTCCATGAGCAGATTCAAGCCATCACGATGCTGATCAGACGGGTGGAGCACTAGCGCAGCCTTCGAGCCTCAGGCCCAAGTTACGTACATGCGGCCACGCAGCTACGCGCCAATGGAGCCACCGAGGATATTGGCCCACCTGCTACCCTACGAACTACGGCATTGCCGGCAAGGCTTCGCGAAGCCTCAATAGGCAATGTGCTGGTCCGCGCCATTGGACCCGACCCCGCACTGTCTGCGATGCGAAGTAATGCCAAACACGACCGTCGTACCCGCACACGCCGTGTACCCAACTGTCGTGCGCGCAAAGGTCGCATCGCCCAAGTGGGGACGAGAGCTAAGCCATGGCCGTGAGCCTAGTGAGCCAGCACCCAGACCAGCAATGCTACCACGTCGGTGGTGGGGACGCCCGCCGAGTATATATAACGAGCCCCTCGCGACCCCTCAATTACAACCTCACACCATCATCCTCCTTTTGTCCATAGATCTCGCGATCCCCTTTGTCCATTGACTCGTACGTCACGCCGGATCCGCAAGAGGTATTGCGACCCACGTACCCCTCCTTGCTGCCCTCGTCTGCCGCAAGCCACAGGCTAATCTGTCTTTGCGTCAGGAATACGTACCTTGTTCGGCGTCTGCTATCCGCGCCAGCTTGTCTTATATATCTCTTTGCCAGAGCCTCAATTGCTGTTGTCTCATCACTTGCAAAACTCAAAATGGTATTTCTCCGCTCTGCTTCGCGCCTTGCGCGCCCTGCCTCGTCCCTCCTCAGCGCTCGCGCCGGGCCCCGATTGACTTGGTCGCTGCGCCAACCAAATGCTTTCAGAACGCTGACCGCGACGGCTTCACAACAGGGAAAGGTTCTTCTTGTCCTCTACGACGTAAGTAACGCCGCGCCTTGGGTGGTAGCGGAAACTTGTCTGACAGCACCAGGGCGGCATCCACGCCGAGCAGGAGCCGCAGCTCCTCGGAACCACGGAGAACGAGCTTGGTATCCGGAAATGGATTGAGGAGCAGGGCCACGAGCTCGTCACCACGTCCAACAAGGAGGGCGAGGACTCGGAGTTTGACAAGCACCTTGTTGACGCAGAGGTCATCATCACCACTCCGTACGTCAGAGCTACCCCGCAATGGCCGCTAGGGCGCCCCACCAGCACGCGTCAAGCTTCGCGGTCGGGCGCACTAGCTATGCAAACCACGATGGGCGCGAACATTCGGCTAATTGCTCGGTATTTGACAGTTTCCACCCCGGCTACCTGACTGCTGAGCGTCTGGCCAAGGCCAAGAACCTCAAGCTCGCCGTGACGGCTGGTATCGGATCCGACCACGTCGACCTCAACGCCGCCAACAAGACAAATGGCGGCATCACGGTTGCCGAAGTCACGGGCTCCAACGTGGTGTCGGTTGCCGAGCACGTTGTCATGACGATCCTGACGCTCGTCCGCAACTTTGTGCCTGCCCACGAGCAGATTGCCAAGGGTGAATGGAACGTTGCCGAGGTGGCCAAGAACGAGTACGACCTGGAGAACAAGGTGGTTGGCACCGTTGCCGTTGGCCGTATCGGTGAGCGTGTGCTCCGCCGCCTCAAGCCATTTGACTGCAAGGAGCTGCTCTACTTTGACTACCAGCCGCTGTCTCCCGAGAAGGAGAAGGAGATTGGCTGCCGCCGCGTGGAGAACCTCGAGGAGATGCTGGCACAGTGCGACGTGGTCACGATCAACTGCCCGCTGCACGAGAAGACGCGCGGCCTCTTCAACAAGGAGCTCATTTCCAAGATGAAGAAGGGCTCGTGGCTGGTCAACACGGCGCGTGGAGCCATTGTGGTCAAGGAGGACGTTGCCCAGGCGCTCAAGGACGGCCACCTCCGTGGATACGGCGGTGACGTCTGGTTCCCGCAGCCGGCACCCAAGGACCACCCGCTTCGCTACGCGACCAACCCATGGGGCGGCGGCAACGCCATGGTTCCCCACATGTCTGGTACCTCGATCGATGCGCAAAAGGTAAGATGGAAGGCAAGGGGTGTGGGCGAAGAAGATTGTTTGACTGACTATGGATGCAGCGCTACGCCGACGGCACCAAGGCGATTCTGGACGAGTACTTTTCGGGGCGGCACAACTACAGGCCCGAGGACCTTATTGTGCACAAGGGCGACTACGCAACCAAGGCATACGGGCAGCGCAAGTAGAGGGCAAGCAGGTTGGGGAGAGAGAGTATTTTGAGCGATTTTGGACGAATTTCCTTTTGGGGTCTAGGGCGCTGGTTGGTCTTGACCCGCCTACCCATGTACATGAATGAAATAAATGCACTTGACTTGATGGATCTGATGGGTGATGTGTTGTAGTTGTAGTGGTGAAGGAGATTGTGCAAGGGCTGGTGTAAATACGCTGGACGTGTGTTGTTGTTGTTGTTGTTGTTGTTGCTGTGTAAGTGGTTGATTGGGTTGTGGCCAGAAGAAGAACAAGGTTGCCGGCGAAAGGTAGGAGCAAATGGAAAGAAAAGAGGGTGTCAGATTAAAAAAAGGCGTTGCAACACACAGAAAAAAATGGGGGTATATAAGTGCAGTGTAGTGCTCATCGGTGCCGTGACGGGAGGGAGCGGCGCGTGTTGTTGTTGGTGTCGGTGTTGTTATCGTCGTCATGCTCATCCTCGCTGTCGTCCTTGAAGCCCTCCTCAAGATCCCTGCCCAGACGCATCTCATCGTCCATGATGCTTCTCCGCTGGTCGAGGGCCTCTCTCCTGCGGTCGTCGATGGGGTCGAAGCCGACCATGCCCTCGCCCTCCTCGTCGTCAAACAGCTCGTCGTCGTTCTGGCTGCCGTGCAGGCCGCCGCGCTGGCGCACCCAGGCCGAGGGCGCAAACAGGTTGTACAGGGCATCCGACAGCTTGGTGCGCCACGACGCGGGGAAGTCGGCTACGTCTGCTGTCACGGGCAGGTACTGGCTGTAGCGGCTGCGGTGCCGCCGCACAAAGGGGAGGATGACGAGGGCGAGCACCACATAGAGAATCGCAGCTAGGAAGAGCGGCACGAGAATCGTCTGTTCGCGGGGAGTTTATGTCTTGGTCAGCGGTTTGGTCGCCCGTTTGTTCATGGCGTGCGCGAAACAAAGAGTGGGCGTTGTCGGTGTCGGATGGTGATGGTGGTTGGGGACCGGCGCGCGCGAGAGAGACATGGCGACGAAAGACGCACTTGGGGCGGGGGGGGGGACCTTTGTTTGGCTTCACCGCCCTGCAGACGCGAAGGCTATCGCGTGCACAGGAACATCAAAACGGGGCTGTTTGTGTATGTGTGTTTGCTACTACTGACCTTGAGGAAGTGGGTAAAGGCCGTCATGGCTGCTGCTGCGTCTGCATGTGTGTACTGTAGAAGGGAAAGGGATGGGGCTCCGACGGGCGGGCGGATCTCTGGCGAGGCGAGGGGGCGGGCGGACCAGGTGCAGCTGAGACGAGACAGGCCAGCAAATGTCAGAAAGCTGCGACGAGCGGTTTTGTGCAGGCGGCGCGTGGGGGTTGGGTGCTGCGCCACAGGCGGTGGCGGTGGCGGTGGTGGGAGTGGGAGTGGGAGAGTGTAGTGGGAGTGCGGCAGAGAAGTCGACGCGGAGGATGCATGGCGACACGACGGCGATGATGCCATGTCGCGGCGGGCGGGCTACGGGCATGGGCATGGGCATGGGCATGGGCATGGGCATGGGCATGGGCATGGGCATGGGCATGGATACTATTGCTATAGCGAGATAGTATACCGTACAGTAGGATGGGCTGCTCGGGCGCCACAAGCTGCACGCACGCTCGCGCAACCTCAGGCACACGCACACGCACGCCCAACACGGACGCCGCGCACGTCTCAGGAGAACGTCGGGGCCAAGGCGAACCGACGGGTCGCTCAGGGTCACGGACGCCGCGCGCGACACACACTTGGACATGGCCGAACAGCCCTACCTGCAACACGGGCGAGTCTCGACCGTGTCTGCATGGGCGGGCCGTGTGCGTCGTGTAGTCTTGTCTTGTGCTGTGCCGGCCGTGTACGCAGAGCAATAGCAGCGTGCTACTATGTACAGCAGAGCAGCCGTCGTCGTGGTAGTGCTCGCCCTCCAACTCCACCACACACTTACACCCACACACACGACGACTGTCGATGGAAGACACGGGGCCTGCTCGCGCAAAGATGCCCTCGGCGGTCATGGACACGGGCCGCTGATCTATGGACGCGCCACCGATGGAATGGCGGTGCGAGTGACGGGACGACTGGGAGCCATACGAACTGCCGGGGGGGCTGTCGATGGACGACGACGCGGTGTGCTTGGAGTCGGTCTGGTGCTTCTCCTTGTCCTTGTGTAGGCGGCGTCCGAAGAACTTGCCGGCGGATGATTGGCGACCCTTGCCATCCATGCCTCTGGCTGGCGAGATTCTCTGCCCCCAAGCTGCCGGCCTGGAGCGCGCCGCCCGACGTGTCGTCCGTTCCCCTCCTTCCAGAAGCAGGGCCGTGTTCCCCCCTTGGCCCGACTACAAGCAGCACCGCGGCGGCACGAAACAGCGATGGCGGGCGCGGCGACGGCAGCGAGGACTCGTGCAACAGGCGGGCGGGGGCTTTGCTTTTTGCGAGTTTGGAGGGCTATAGGGTTTCCCGTTGGGGGGGGGGGGGGCAAAGGTGGGCAATGCGGCCTGCAGGTGAGTTGCGGGAAGTTGCCGAGTGCTAGCGCGTGCGGTGCAAGAGCCCAATTACTCTCCGCGAGACGACTCCTCCCACCGCTCCGCCGAGCCCTTGCCACACCACCTCAACAAGGGCGCCGGCGACTTTCACCAGTACCCCGTCTTTGCCGCCTCCCCAATGGCGCCCCCCAACGGCTACGCCACCGGCAACACCGCCAGCCAAGGGCCGCCGCGCCCCCCGCCGCACTCACAGGGCAACACCACCATTGCCTCGAGCAACCCCGGCGACCGCGGCGTCTCCATGCAGCAATGGGGCGCCCGCGGTAGCAGCAGAGACGGCAACCACTCGGCCTACTACCCCCCGACCGACTCGCCCTACGCGCGCACCTCGTCCGACCAGGCCAGCGTCTACAGCAACGACTCGCGCTCGCGCGCCAGCAACACCTTCTACCCCCAAAACTCATCCCAATCCACGTTTGCCTCGTCCGTCGGCCTCGACCCAGGCAGCCTCCTGCCCACGGCCGCATCCACCCCCCGCGACTCGCACCGCCACCTGCTGCACTACAATGTCTCGTCCCCGTCCCCCTCGGCCGCCGCCACGGCCTTTCCGCCCAACACGCTCAGCATACAGCGCCCGCCCGACCACATTGTCGAAAAGGAGTTTATGAATCTCATGGTCAAGCGGGGATGGAAGAGCCTGCCCGAGCAGGCGCGGCGCCAGATGGAGGCCTACAAGATCGACAAGAAGTGGACCCTCGTGTACCAGGACAAGCTGGCCGAGTTCAAGCACGAGGAGAAGAAGCGCCAGACACAGCGGATAACGTACGGCGGCGGCGGAGGCGGCGTCGTGGGCAACCAGGACATCTTGATCCGCGCAGAAGAAGAAGGATCGCCCGAGTGGTATGTCAAAAAGGTCATGGACAACTCGATTACCATCAAGCAAATGTCGAGTCTGGAAATCAGCTTGCGAACCCAGCCCATTGCCTGGGTCAGGGGCTTCATCGAGGCCCAGGGCCAAATCGCCCTCACCAATGTGCTGGCCAAGATTAACCGCAGAAAAGGCACAGGGCCACAACCCCCGCCCAGCGTCATTGCACAAAAGGCCGAAAACGACGTGGAGCGCGAGTACGAAATCATAAAGTGCCTCAAGGCTCTCATGAACAACAAATACGGTGCCGACAACGCTCTGAACCACCCGTCCATCATCCAAGCCCTCTGCGGCTCTCTCATCTCCTCGCGACTCAACACCAGAAAACTCGTCTCCGACGTGCTGACCTTCCTGTGCCACTGGGGCAATGGAAGCGGCCACGAAAAGGTGCTGCAGGCACTCGACAATCTCAAATCACAGTATGGCGAAAACAGCCGCTTCGACGCATGGATGCGTATCGTCGAGGTCACGGTCGACGGCCGCGGCAAGATGGGCTCCATGGTCGGCGCCTCAGATGAAGTCCGCAGCGGCGGAATCGGTGTCGAGAACCTGCTCATGGAATACGCCATTGCAACCCTCTTCCTCATCAACATGATTGTGGATGCCCCGGAGCGCGACCTCCAGCTCAGGATGCACGTGCGAGCCCAGTTCACAGCATGCGGCATCAAGCGCATCTTCAACAAGATGGAGGGCTTCCAGTACGATGTCATTGACAAGCAGATTGAGCACTACCTCGAAAATGAAGCCGTCGACTACGAAGACTTTCTCCAAAAGGAGAACAGTTCCATGGTCGACAGTGTCGAGGGCGAAACCAAGGATCTCAATGATCCCTTGCAAATCGCCGACGCCATCATGAGTAAGATCAGCGGAACCAGGGCACAGGATTACTTTACGTCTGCTATGCAACACTTGTTGCTAATGCGCGACACCGAGGCTGAGGATCGATTGCGCATGTTCCAATTGGTAGATCAGATGCTGAGCTACGTGGCTATGGACCGCCGACTGCCAGACATGGATCTCAAGCAGAGTCTGAACTTTACCGTCCAGTCTTTGCTCGACAAGCTCTACACCGATTCCGAGGCCAGGCAAGTCCGCGATGAAGCCGTCGAAGCCCGGCAAATTGCAGACTCGGCTATTGCGGAGCGTGATGAGATGAAAGCGCAGCTGGAGCTGGGTGCCGATGGATTGGTATCCAAGCTGCAGAAGCAACTGTCTGAGCAAGAGCGCATCATCGAGCTTCGCGGAAGACAAGTCGAGTCTATGAAGGCGGAGCTTGCCGAGATGCAGAGGATTCGCGCCCAAGAGCTGCAGCGAAACGAATTAGAGACGCGTGAACTGTACTTGATGCTTAGAGATGCTCAAGACGTTGCAGCGTCAGCAGCCAAAAAGACTGGCAAGGACGGCCTCGGCGCGACAGATCCGGCTCAAATGCAGGGCATCATGGATCGCGAGCGTCTGATGAGCAGACTGGAGATTCAGCTGCAGAGAGCCAGGACCCAGGCCACGCTCGAAGGCCGGACTTTGCAGCTCCAGCCGAGCGAGAAGCTCCGGGAGCTGCGAGAACGAATGGAGGGCGATGTGTCTGGCTTCTCAGAGCAAGGCTATGGTGGTCTTGAGCCGTCCTCATTCGGGTCGGTACGCGCCAAGAGTGGCGTGCCACGCAGAAAGCCCTTGCCCGGCATTCCAGGCGAGGACACTGAGATGTCTGACATGGACGACGACGAGGATGTCATTATTGAGAAGCCCCGTCTGATCCAGATGCACAAACCCAAGCTCAGCGCATCGACTGCCAATGCCCTCATGAACGACATCACATCCAATGTCAAGCGATACGACGACTCTGACGGAGAAGACAATGGCGACGGCGTTACTACAGGACCATCACACCCAAGCCTGGAATCAGGCTCGCCAAAGACTCCCGCCGATGGCGATGCAACAAAGGCTGCTCCTCCTCCTCCACCTCCTCCTCCACCACCACCACCACCAGGTGCTCTTGGGTTCTCTGCCGATATTCCTCAGCCACCGCCTATGCCCGGCACTCCAGGAGCTCTTCCGCCTCCGCCTCCACCACCACCACCGCCGCCGCCAGGCAAGCTTGGCTTCAAAGCTGGAATCCCTCCACCGCCCCCTATGCCAGGTATGCCAGGGGATGGAAGCATGCCTCCTCCGCCTCCCCCGCCTCCACCCATGCCGGGCATGCCAGGTGCCAAGCGCCCTGGCTTCCTCCCCAAGGCACCTGGTTTTGGTGCCGCGCAACAATTTGCTCTTTCTGGACCCCGGCCCAAGAAGAAGCTCAAGGCTCTTCACTGGGACAAGGTCGATCAGCCCACAACAACGGTATGGGCCACGCGTGGCCTTACTTCGGAAGAGAAGGAAGAAAAGTACCAAGAGCTGGCGAGGAAGGGTGTGCTCGAGGAGGTCGAGAAGCTGTTCATGGCCAAGGAGATCAAGGCGATTGGCAAGAAATCTGGCAAAAAGGACGAAAAGAAGCAGATCATCTCGCGCGATCTCATGCACAACTTCCAGATCAGCATGGCCAAGTTCTCCTCGTATGGGGTTGAGGATGTGGTGCGCATGATTATCCACTGTGACAGCAAGATCCTCGACGACCCCGTCACCATGGAGTTTCTGCAGAAGAACGACTTTTGCGACATCCCCGACAATACTGCCAAGCTCATGGCGCCCTACTCCAAGGACTGGACCGGACCCAATGCCCACGAAAGTAAACGAGAGCAAGACCCAACCGAACTTACTAGAGAAGATCAAATCTATCTCTACACTGCTTATGAACTTCACCATTACTGGAAGAGTAGGATGAGGGCGCTCTCACTCACTCGCACGTTTGAAATCGAGTACGAGGAGATTTCCAACAAGCTTCTGGAGATTTCGCGAGTCTCGGAAAGCTTGAGGGACTCGTCGAGCTTGATCAGTGTCCTGGGTCTTATTCTCGACATTGGTAACTTCATGAACGATGCCAACAAGCAAGCCAGCGGCTTCAAGCTCTCCACACTGTCTCGACTGGGCATGCTCAAGGACGACAAGAACGAGTCTACCTTTGCCGATGTTGTGGAGAGAATTGTGCGCAACCAATACTCTGGATGGGAGGGCTTCACCGACGAGATCAACGGAGTCGTGGCAGCGCAAAAGATTAATGTTGAGCAACTGCAAGCCGACGCCAAGAAGTACATTGACAACATCAAGAACATCCAGATGTCGCTCGACTCGGGTAACCTTTCGGATCCTACCAAGTTCCATCCTGAGGATAAGGTGTCTATTGTTGTGCAGAGAAACATGAAGGAGGCCAGGAGAAAGGCAGAACAACTGCAGGTCTTCCTGGAGGATATGCAGAAGAGCTACGACGACATCATGGCCTTTTACGGAGAAGACCCGACGGACGAGAGCTCGAGGAGGGATTTCTTTGCCAAGCTGGCCAACTTTGTCCAAGAGTGGAAGGTAGGTATTCATTGCCATTGTCCTCGAAATTCGATACTGACTATGTCCAGAAATCCAAAGAAAAGAACATTGCCCTCGAGGAACAACATCGTCGCAACGAAATTTCCATGCGCCGCAAACAAGCGCAAAATCAAAACCCCCTCTCCCCCAATGCACTGTCCGATTCCGACGGAGCCAAGTCGCCCGCTTCTACAGGCGCCATGGACGACCTCCTTCAGAAGCTGCGTGCCGCCAAACCAGAAGCAAGGGATCAGCGTGATCGCCGTCGTCGTGCCCGCTTAAAGGACAGGCACCAGGTCCGAGTGGCTAGTGGCCAGAAGATGCCTGAAATCGGGGTCAATGTGGATGACAACGAAACCAGCAAGGAAGCAGACGAGAAGAGCAAGCTGTTGAGTCCGTCAAGCGAAACTGCCGAAAGCGAGGCTAGCAGCAATGCTGGCATGTCGGCCGGCGTTTCTGAAGCTGCAGAAGCGGATATCGCCGACCGAGCTGCAGCCATGCTGGAGGGCCTGCAGTCTGGGGCTACCATCAACAAAGACGGTTCCCTATCTGTCAGGCGGCGGCGAGAAAACGCCGACACGGAACGACAACGGCGAAGGAATAGACGTCAACAAGCAGCCTCAGCCAAGAGTGAAGATGGCGGTCTCTTGAGCCCTACAGCCATACCCGAAGAAGGCGGGGGCGCCAATGCCAATGCCAACGGCAACAGTGGTGACGGCGGCGACAGCGCTGGCGAAGGAAACAGTAGTCTTGTTGACGGCGCTGCCGACGCAGAAGCAGAAAACCCACCAGACACCCCCGTCACCATTGTGCATCCGCCCAGCCCAGAACAAAAAGGAAGAGAATTGCCTACGCCGCCGCCAGAGTAGAGAGAGAGAGAGAGAGAGAGAGAGAAACTAAGAATTCTAGTCCATGTCTTTTTTCCTTTTCTTCTTCTTCTTCTTCTTTTTACTCGGTTTGGGGCTTCCGCCTTCATTCGTCTTATGCTATCGTATGCTACGTCGAAGGGGGAAATATGCAGTCGCTATGCTATGCTATGCTATGCTATGCTATGCTATGGTATCAAGGTTGGTTGGGTCGGCTGGGTCGGGTTGGGCTGGATTGGGCTGGATTGGGATGGTGAAGAATGAAGAGCAAAGAGTGAAGCGAAGAGTGAGTGAGGCGTGCACGTTGTCGTTGTCGTCGTCGTTGTTGTTGTTGTGCCAAGAGAGAGAGAGAGACAGAGAACAACAGTACAATGCAGTAATTGTTGTACCTGTCATCTCAGGGACCGACTAAACCTGAACACGGGGGACTCACGCTTTTTTTTTTACTCTTTTTTTCCCCGTTTTTTTTTATTTCCTACGGTTTTCTTTTTGCGAGGGTTGGGAAAACGGTCAAATGCATGACAACGACATCAACATCACCACCACCACTACCACCAACGCCACTACTACTACTACTACCACTACCAACACCGGAACGCAACGATCGATTTGGGTTTCGCCTTTTGCGAGGGCGGCGCGGCTGGGTGAGGGGGGGGGAGTTTTTTTTTCACATTTTGGTTACGTGGGATACTTGTATAATCTTTTTCCTTGTTTTTTTTTATTTTCCCTGTCCTCTTTCTCTACTTACCCCCTCTACTTACCCTCTTACCCTTCCTCCCCTGCCTCTCTTATCCCTCCTCTCTTTTTTTTCAGGTTCTTTTTGTTCGTTATCGTTACCCTTTTTTTTCTTTTTTTAAATTTTTTCTGCTGCTACTGCTACTGCTACTGCTACTGCTGCTGCTGCTACTAGTGCTGTTGCTATGTTTATTTATCTATTTGTCTATCTGTCTGTCTGGTTGTCTAGTTGTCGTTCCATCATCGCTTTTAAACACATGCCCCCCCCCCCACCACCACCTTCCTGTCTTAATAAATCTAAACCTTAATACTCTTTGCAAGTTTTTAGACACACACACACACACATATATATATATATATACCCACAACACTTAACACTAACACTAACCCCTTTGTCTTCTTCCTGCTTTTTTCCCACGCTTCCTATCTTTTTTTCATTTTCGTTTTGGTTTTCGGTTTCGGTTTCGGTTGGGCTGTAGTAGTGCTGGTTTTTTTTAAGTGGTAGTTCACGTCGCTGCATTGTGTGTGTGTGTGTGTGTGTGTCTGTGTGTGTGTTGGAGGGGGAGGGGGGAGTATAGTAGGAGTATATAGGTTAGTTTTTTAGTAGTCTTGTTCTTAAGAAAAAAAATTCATC